CTTTTCGTTCAGATCAATTTCTCCGTTCAACCATCTGCTTTCAGGTTGATGTCTGTCCAGTTCTGCTTAGATCAAAGAGATGTTGCAGAGTGGGGGAGGCTCTTCCATGCACAGCTGAAACCTTCTGAATGTCTCATAACTCGCAAACTTAGGGAACTCAAAGCTTTACAGAGCCTCCTGTTAAAGGTGCAAAGCAGCGTTAGTCCCCATTAAAGCTGAGCACAAAGTCTTTTAGACTCTTTAATGTCTGATGTGTCTGTGATTGTAATTATGCAGCAAGATTTTGTGGGTGGTTGCTCTAAGTCAGCCACAAATTAAGCTCTTAGATTTGTGTTTTGAGTCTACACTATGCTGTGTTAAACCCTAGGCCAGTTTGCCAACACTTCTTGCAACTTGCCTAGGGGAGGCAGATACACATTTGTGTTCTCTTTAGCATGCTGGGGAAAGCAGAGCATGGTGAGCTGCCTTTTCCTCTCAAGTTTTGATCCGAGACCTGTCTGCCTCAGGGCAGCACATCCCAAGGGAACTTGCTTGAGGTCACTCACCAGTAGCACAAGGGCAAGAGCAAAACTCAAGAGATCTGTGTCTCTGTCATGCTTGCTTCTAGCCACCAGACCCTGCTCCCTTCCAGATAGACTTCCCACTGCAGATCAGCCACCTGCCTACTTTCTGTGCTGTCATATATCAGGACTGTGCCACTTAAACCACTCTGTAATGGCCATTTCAGTAGCTCTGATTAAGTCCGGCATTTAAAAGTTTATAACTCAGCTATAAAAAGTCACTCAGGCTGAACCCCAGCATGAGAGGCCCAAGCCCAAGGGGATGATTTAAATGCGAGCTACTCCAAAATTAGACTGCATGATATTTTTTCAGTTACATGAAGGAAAAATGGAAACCCGAGGTTTGAGGGATGGATGTAAGACAAAAAGATGTTTTGTTTGACAGCTGACTGCATTGTCACTGGATCCTATGCAGTAATTTTCTCTGAATTTCCGTATTAGCATGATCCATGCATAGCGTCAGTGGTTGCTGTGCAAATGTCACTTGTTCAGGTTTGGCAAAGCATCTCCAGTCCTGGGCTCCTTTCTCGAGAAATTACAGACATCCACGACACTCAGATTTCCCCTCATCCCTCACCTTCCGTGCTTAGCCATCTCCCCCCATCCTCATTCATGACTCTGCAGAAAGCCTGTGATCCTGCCTCCAGCTCTGGTGCTGACTTTTGGCTTGTGCTGTACCCATGCTGCAGTTCCTCCTGATCCAGTGCTGAGCCTGGCAATAGGGAGGCTATGGCAGTGGCATCTGGGAGGGAGTCCACGCTCAGGGCATGCTCAGGGCATGCACAGGGTATGATAGCAGCATGTTGGACTAGGTTTTGTTAATGGGGGTTGATGCAAAGTGCCAGACCATAGAACCTCTTTATAAGATTGCATGGCTTTCTCTCAGCTCTCCATTCTTGTTATCTCTTACACATCTATTTAAGTCTCCTTATGCCCATGTATGTTATAGCAGGAAATGTGGAACTGTGAATGCACCTTTGCTCAGTTATGCCTTAGGCTAGTCCTTCCTACGCTGCATGCTGGATACTAATGAGATTGCTGGTCTAATTGGCTCTTTATTAGGAGTATTATTTACAACGACGCTGAAGGCCATGTGCAAGCAGATAAAGATCCTAGTTTACCATTAAACTCTTCCCTCTTGCCGTCAGTGCCCTCCCCTCTGTGATCCCCACAGATTACTGCCCTTGGGGAGTTTGGGCTGACCTTCTCCCCACCTCCCAGAGGAGTCCCCCATCCTGGATCATGGCCAGGGATAAAAACTTGCTGTCTCTGGGAAGTCTGCCCTTCTGCTGTGCACTCAGGCTTTCTGCTTCCCTGCAGCAGAAAGAAGCCAGCACAGTGTGGGAGGAAGTCATTTGCTGCTGGGCGGACCACGAGGGAACAAGGGATGGAAATGAAATGCTTGTGGTGTGCTGCTGTGGCACATTCTCCCTCTAAAAGAGCTGCTACTCAATAAAGATCCTGTTGTGCCTGGCTAGCGGTGTGGTGGAAGCAGAGTGTGAAGCAGGGGAAGTGAGAAGCCCTGAATTGATACCTGAGCTCTGAGTACATAATTCAGACCTCTCCACTGAAGAGTTTGACACCCCTCTCTGAGATCATAGTGTAGCCCAAGGGGAGGGGGGAGGAGTTGCCAGCCACAATGCCATAAATAAAAGAGCAGTAGAGTACAATAAGCAATGCTTTATTCTTTCCAGTTAAAAACTTCCTTTGCAATGTAGTAAAATATTGACTTTAGGTGACCATATTACCACAAAACAAGACCTTTTCCTGATAGCAACCAAAGAAGTCTTTACATAGATCTGGCCTGTGAGAACATGAATTTCATTGTCATTTACTGACGCTAAATTTCACTGGCATAGAGCACACAAAGCCTTAGCTGAGAGTAAGGTATTGACAGTATTTTAATAATCCAACCACAGTGTCCTTGTTTTCTGCCCTAAGCTCTCTGCCACAAGTAAGTGATGGTCTGCTGTTTCAGATTTCTGAGTGTCATATTTTGGAGATGTGAGAAGTTTCCTGTGGTAAACTCATAATAGTTAAAACTTAATAGGATTTAAAGTATTGGCCTGCACAACTCTTTTAGTATTTAACTTCGATGGCTTCTTCTGTAGTCAGTGTTTTTTATTGTACATCCATAATATGAAACAGAGAAGGAAAAAAACATTGCTGCTTGTGTCATTTTAGCCAAGAAGAGTTCTCACATGTAGAGTGAGAAAAGGAGCTCTTTTCCACAGGCTGAGTTACTTCTAGATCTAATGCCCACCCCAATCCTGTTCTGATGGCCTGGAAGTTCTTGAAGTTGTTTCTGGTCTCAAACAGTTCAGCTAAACCATCCTACAGTCTCCTGGAGCGCCTGAGACTGTGAAAGCTGTTTGTAAAGAGAAAATACCCACTCCTCTGGGCTAGTCCAATGTCATGGTGCTGCTTTCTAAGTCTCAGCACAAGCCAGTGTACTGTGACATAAATGCTGTGTACCCGGGAGAATGTCATCTTTCATGATTTACATACCCATCTTCTGCCTCATCAGTGGCCTGAACATACATGACTCATCAGCTACCAAGGTCAATTCTGGTATGCAGGTTCCTGTGATTCTGAGCAGTGCCTTCAGCCCAGGCTGGGAGACCTCTGATAATAGTATGGTCAGAAGATGCACTACGAGAGTAGGCATCAGAAGGCAGGCCAGACAAAGCCAGACTGAGAAACGGTCCTTGGGACTGGTCAAGGCCTGGAGAAAACTTTTAATTTCTAATTAAATTGTGTTTGCTTTGTCAGCTGAACTGGTTTACCTTTCAGTTCTCCTGTTTCAGAATTCTTTTTTATTAAACTCCAGCACTCAGTGTTGGCCCTAGAGACTAACACTTGCTATAGTGGCAAATTTATTAGGACTCCCCTAGGTACAAATAGGCTGAGGTTTTTATTATGTGCACACAGCTTCTTTACACCCACATTGTACATGAGGCAATGTGTTAAATAAGATCCAAAGCCCATTAAATGAAGAAGCCCATCTCTGCAAAGAAGACTCCCCAGGAACCTAAACTCTGCCTGTTATATCACAGCTGGCTCACCCTTGCTCCGTCGTGCTGGCTGAAGCCATCAGATTTTGGCAGATGCTTGAGAACCAAGATGCTGATGTGATCACCAGCCCTTGGCACAGCAAGGGATAGGAGCATCCCTGGGAGTTGTTAGTTTTTATTAGAAATATTTCTGTAGCAGCGCACAAGAAATTGGCTGCTGGCAAGGAAGGGAGATGTACAGGAGAAAAGTGCTGATCCTATTTCTCCTCTGAACCATTACTTTAGAGCTAAATGCAACTGGGACTGAGCCAGAGCTTCTCCAGGGAGGATTTGACAATCACTGTCCAATAGGGGTCAGAAGGATATCAAAATCCCTCTCAGAAAGCCAAATACTTGAATACTTTTCCTGTGGCTCTGAACCTGGGAGTAAACCAGGCCAGTGTTGCAGCTTGTTGTTCAGATAAATTACACATATAACAAGCAACCAGGCAACTCTGTGTGTGTGTGTGTATGTGTGTGTGTGTGCACAAACTGCAGCTTCATCATTTTTTTTGGTGGGATTTCCCTCCACAGGGGAGAAGCAGCATTTAGGTGACTCAGCTTCATGTACCCCACAGAGCACTTTCTCTGTCAGCAAAGCCCAGGACTCACCGCACAATGCTTTATCCCTACCTCCACTATAAGGCTGTGGGGTGCAGCTCACAACGTGAGTCCAACCTGGAAGGAAAGGGAGGAGATGTGTTTTTTATTCAGCATTTTTTCCCTAGTGATCCCTTTGCGCTACGACAAGCCAATCTAATCCCTATGTTACTCTGTTTTATTTGGTACAGACACACCAAAGGGAGGTATTTCTTGCTAAGGGGTCCCCCTTTTCAGTAACTGAACCACTCTCCATAGCTTGGGAGATGACTTGTCCCTTCACTGGGACCCCTCAATGACTCTGTCACCCTGCTGCTCAATGCCACGCTGCCTTGTCTGCATCACATCGTCATCAGAGATGAGCACCAGTACAGCTGAAGATACAAGTAATACTCTTTGTCCCACACAAAGGGATTACTAGACCTTAGCTGAAATTCTCTTTTGAAGTAGCTGGTTGGTTGGATTAATTTTTTTTTTGTTAAAATATTGTAGGTCTGCTGCTCTGTGCTCAAGTGTCTAGAGAGTTGCTGAGGCTGGGAAGCCGCCTCTTGTTTACAGGAAACTCTGTGTTTCTACCCAGTTCTGATAAAATCAAACTTTTAAAAATATAATCCTTTAAGATCTATGCCTTTGCACCAGCCTAATGAATCAGATGCATATTAAAATCACTTTAGGACACCAGGACTCTTTTGTTCTGCAATACATTGTTAGCCAGACACTGTGAAAACAGGAGAGGAGTGAATAAAAGAGAGTCATTGTTATTAACTAGATTTTAGAATTACATTAA